CGGGTAGTGGGTAAGCCATGCGAGCAGTGAACCCCCTATCCCCAGCTGGCGGGCCTTGTAAAGTACGCCAGCATGAGACACTTTGTCAAAAGCCCCCGCTATGTCCACGGCAACTGCTTGCATAGCTCCACCTTCTGCCATGGCATTGGCCCACTCATACTGTAGGACAGTCAGGAGGTCTGCAGCTCCGGTGCCACGACGAAAACCGTATTGACGAGTATTCAGCAGACGGTGGCGTTCCAAGAAGTTGACAAGCTGGGAGTTGGCTATACTCTCCATTACTTTCGACAGGATGCTGAGGAGAGACACAGGTCGATAATTCGAAACAATTGACTTGGAGGACTTCTTGTGTATGGAGGACACATGGGCTAGTTTCCAGGAAGCTGGCTGGACCCCTGCTCTGAAGTAGCAAGAGAACAAGCGAGCAGCAGGCTCTGCCAGCTCCCTGTGGCATTCCTTGAGGACTCTAGCTGATATGCCATCGGGGCCAGTGGCCTTGTGCGGATTTAGCGCCGCTAGTTGACGACGGACATTGGCTGGACGAAAGTGGATGGCTGTGATCTGAGGTGCCGTGGCATCAAGTTGCATAGCAGGGAGCTGATCAGAGGCAGAGAAATTGTTGGAGCCGAGGCTGCACTTTATGGCAAAGTATTGGGCAAAGCACTCGGCTTTCTCCCTAGCAGTGGTGTGCTCGTGTCCAGATCTGTCGACCAGGACAGGTATATCGCTTTGGCGGCTAACACCAGCAGCTCGCTTAATAGCTGTCCACCATTGCTTGTCTTGCAAGGAGCCAGATGACAGCTTTCTAGAAGCTCGCTCTTTGCATTGCCGTTGGGCATGTTGCAGAACATGCACACAATGTGTAACGGATGCCAGGAAGGTTTCTTTCTGTTGCAAGCTATCGGGGTCTTGCCTCCAAACTCTCCAGGCGTGTTGCTTTAGGTGCACCGCTTGTTGGCAGGCAGGTGTCCACCAGACCGGTTCAGTGGCCATTACTTTAATGGTCTTGGAGGGAATAAACTGAGACATGGCATCACGCACAATTCCTGTGAGGGCTTCACAAGCAGCGTCAGGGTCGTTTGATAGGACAGTTGGCCAGATAATGCGGCTAAGATGTGCGTGCATCCTTCCCCAGTCTGCTCTAGCATACTGCCAGACGATTCTTAGGGCCGGTTGGTCCTTGCGGGGACGTACGGTTTTGAACTCCGTTAAGATAGTGACATGGTCTGAGCGTCCAAGCGGCGGACCAGTGGTGACAGATGCTGCACCTGGGAGGTCAGATATAACTAAGTCCAGTGTGTTGTTCTTGCGGGTAGGTTCGGAGACATGTTGGGTGAGGTAGTGCGAGGCGCACAAGTCCTCTAAGGCTTCCCCAGCAACAGTGGTCTTGGTGCTGCCCAGCCAAGCGGTGTTGTGGACATTGAAGTCACCCGTGATCAGGACATAGTCACCGAGGTGCCGGACAGTGAGCAAGGTCTCCTCAAGATACTTAATAAGACTGATATCTGACTCACTGGAGCTCCCAGACCGGTAGAGGGCGCAGAATACAATTTTATGATGATCACACGTTTCAATAAGAAGCCAGATGACTTCAAAGTCATGACATGGCACGGTGTCAAGGTGACGAAAGCACAGACCTGCTTTTAGCCATACAGCAACACCGCCTCCATGTGCAGTGCGGTCCTTGCGTACTGCGGGGCAGTATCCGGGTATTAGTGTTTCAGCTGGAGACATTTTCTCGGCAGTGAGTTTTGTCTCAGTTACTATGGCAATGTCTACAGTCTGCTGACGGAGGGCATGTTGTAGCTCACCGAACTTGGACTGGAGACCGAATGCATTGGTCAGAAAGATCGATAGACTTGACATATTTGTTTGTGGCTTAGTTGTTTCCTGGAAGAGGGTGTAGCGGTGGCGGAGGGGGAATCTGAGACGGGGCATCCATGTCTATCACTGGCTCCTGGTCGGACGCGCTCATGTGTTGATCGTCTGGAGATTGCTTGTCGGACAGGTGCTGGTACTTCTCAAAATTCCACTGGCGTGAGTATACAGGTCGCGGCCAGAATCCCTTGGAGTTGACCAGCGCAGCCGTTTTCGAGTTGAGTACGAGTCGTGCGGAGGATCTGGCTTCCTTCCGGAAGATCTTGCACTCGTGGATTTTGACTTGAGTTTCGGCTGAGCTTGCTCGGGTGGTGACGAACTGACTGAGTTTCTCCGTAGTCGTGTCACTCGGTAAGTTCCCCACAAACAGTACTTTCCGCTTTCCCGTGGGCTTTGTGCTGCAAACTAGCTCCCAAAGTCCACTGTCCTCGTTGTCGTCTTCAAAGCTGGGCAGCAGGTTTGAATTTGCCGATCTTTCATCACGATGCACCTCTGGTACACGTGCTCGAGCAAGGGGCTTTGAACTGTCGGACTGTGGGGTCGGTTCGTGAACCGAGCTCACAGAAAGTTGGTCTGTACGTGTACAGGGGGTCACGGATGCGCGGTCATCCCGTACATGAGCTTTTGAACTCTCCTTGGTCGTTTTCTTGCCGTTGTTGGCCTTTGCCGTAATGGCGGACTCCTTCAATGATGTTACCTCTTGCCTTAGCTCAATGACAAGATTTGAGAGATCGTCTAGTCTCCGCCGGAGGCGGGCTTCATTGTCCCTTGACTCACTAACGAACGCAGCCAGATTTTCTACCATACTGAGCACATTGTGGTGGATCCCGGGAATACTACTGAGTACCTCTACCTGCTCCGCGCTTGAGAGCTCGCCCATGGCGACAGATTGCTCCTTGTCGCAACCTGGCTACCAAGCTACAACTACACTACGCTACACTGAAACCACTGCTACCTGCCTGCCACCAGTCCGGCCTAATTCCGGCTGGGCTGTCCGAGACGATGTGAAAAAAACTGGAGCTCGAAAAACGCGTACCTACCCCTACCTGCTTTTGATTGTCCCTGTCGTTTTGCAGTCTGCTGCGCTCGCGTCTGTTCATTCTCTGCCCGGTGCTGGTCACTTTGCATTGAGAAAACGTTACATCTGGCCCGTCAACGTTTCTTTTGGCAGGGTATGGCATCCGATGTCCAGATTTATGTGCAGAGTTGTCCGACTTGTGCTCAGTTGGCTTCTAAGAATCCAGTGCACCGTGCTCCGTTGCAGTCCATGGCTGCTGGTTTTCCGTTTGAGTTTGTCGCATTGGATATCATTGGTCCACTTCCTGTGACTCCAACCGGTAACAGGTATGTCCTTGTCATCGTCGACTACTTCACTCGCTGGGCTGAAGCCGTTCCTTTGTCTGCCATTACTGCTGAGGCTGTCGCTCTGGCATTTGTTCATGGTTGGGTGTCTCGCTTTGGAGCGCCACGTCGCCTCCACTCTGACCAAGGCTCTCAGTTCGAAGCTCGGTTGTTCCAGTCGTTGTGCACCATCCTTGGCATCCGGAAATCCTGCACAACCAGTTACCACCCCGAGGGCAATGGACTTGTTGAACGCCTCAATCGTACGTTAATCCATCACCTGAAGGCTTTTGTTGGCCCTACAGATGTCCATTGGGATATTTACCCTCCGCTTATTCTTCTCGCCTACCGTTCTGCTGTACACAGTAGTACTGGTTTTACGCCTTCCCGTTTGTTGTATGGTGCTGAGCTTCGCCTGCCTGTTGATCTGGTCTTTCCTCCTCCTGATCCTCCCAAGCTCTCCCCATTTGCCTATGTTCAGCTCGTACGTGATCGTTTAGCTCAGGCTCATTCTCTTGCTCGTGTTCAGTTAGCTGCTGTCCATCGTCACCAGAAGTCAGTGTATGATGCTCACTGCAGTGGTGCTTCGTTTGTCGTTGGCGATTTAGTCTGGCTGCATGATAAGGTGATTCATGCCGGCGAGTCTGCCAAGTTCCACCGTTATTGGTCCGGTCCGTTTCGTGTTGTTCGTGTGAATGGTCCTACGTCGTATACCTTGTCTATGCCTGGGTGTGAACGTACCGTCCATTTCAATCGCCTCAAGAAAGCTGTAACTGTGTCCGGTCCTGTTACATTGCCGCTGCCCGATGATGATTTGCCGCGCTGCGTTCCGCCGCTACAGCCGCCGTCGTCTGATCCAGTCCGTACTTCTTCTCCTGTTTCTCGTCGTTCTGGCCGTGTTCGCACTGCACCTGCTCGACTAGCTGACTATGTCCTGGACTGAGTTTATTATTTGGTTTGTTTTCTTTTGTTTGTTTCCTAGGTATTTCGTTCATTCCCGTGGACGTGAATTTTAGCTAGGGGGGGCACAGTGTAATAGGTGTATGTATGCTACGACCTGAATACTCACTATTCGTATTTCCCGCTCGTTCCCCTTGGCAATGAGCCACTCACATAGAAGAGCGCATGCTCCGGGTTCTGTTCTAGTCTGTCTTGAGTGGTCGTTGTCCTGTTCTCCTTGTCTACACTCTTCTCGAATACTTCTATAAATTATCCAATCATATAAAACCCTGTGTTCCGGTGTGAGGGGGCATCATTAGCCGGGAGCAGCTAACACTACCCGCGAGCAATGCTCTAACCAACTGAGCTACAGTATGACTCTTATGCAAAGTGATAATGACTTTGGTTGATGCGTACCCATGATATCAAACGGCTGGCCGAGCGCCCCCTTGAGTGATGTGAGTTGCCAGTATAATGCAAGCCACATATTGATTGATCGAATTTGCCATCACTGTGGTTACGAGTCAAACTGTAGCTCAGTTGGTTAGAGCATTGCTCCCAAAAACATGTACTAGTAATGTCCCTGGTTTGGGTTCCGGTGGTGTAAATGATGAATTGGTCTTTCGTTCATGTCTGGCTTGCAAGTGTTGAGTTTTGGAGAGACAAAAGCAGTACCTGGCATGTGGCCTCTAATTTCCTACAACTTTGAAATTATCCGTGAAGTCCAAATTTGAAACTGCTAGTTATGTGTACACGGTAGCCATTGCAGAATGAGAGCTCATAGAGGAGAAGAGATGGAGAGATTGAAGCTTAAGTTAATTTTGAAACATTCTGTTTCGCAGGCATCCAATGTACCACACCTTCAATCACTAATGGTGCGACAAGACCAGCGTCTGGAGCAACTATTGTTTATAACACCCAGTTTCTGCTCTCTTGTTCAACTGGATACTACGTCACTAACGAAACTCAAACGACAACATGGAAAAAGTTCAGATGTTGGAATGGTGGGCGTTGGTCTCCACATCAACCATCCTGTGAACGTAAGACTAGAATTTTTTTCAAACATGTATGGACTCTCTTGAAGGGGGACATCACCGAAAGATCAAAACGTCATGGTCTGTAGACTTAGCACAGGCTGTGCAGTGCAACATAGCAGCTACCAAGCGACATAATTATTTGCTTGACAATATCGGGACTACCGTGAATGTAAATCCTCCGTTTGATCCAGCCATTTGGCAGAGAGGATTTTCACGAGGCAATTTATGCAATAATCCGAAGCGGATGAATTCGACAACGGACTTGGCCAAACTACGCCAGTTGGACGAGCCGAATCAAACTTTCCTTTTGAATCCGATTCGCGGCAGATGCGAAAGGCCCCTAATAAGTAGTCAGAAAGTGCGATAAAGCATTCGCTTGATATCATGGACAGCGCATCAAACTATGTCCACTGCGAACAAACACAAATTGCAAGTTCCAATTTGGACTTCACGGAGAATTTCAAAGTTTTAGGAAATTAGAGGCCACATCCTTCGTACTACTCTTTTCTCTCCAAAACTCATCACTTGCAAGCCACATACGAAAGGAAAACCATTAGTCACACCACCGGGACTCGAACCAGGAACCTTGCTACTCGCGAGCAATCCTCTAACCAACAGTTTTTCCCTAGATTTCTGCGGATTGAGGCTTACCAGACCCCAACCATGGAGCGCAACATTAGTACTGCTGCCCGAAATGGCGAGCCACGATGGAAATCACTTACCCGAGAAGACATGAAGGCCAACACCGTAGTTTTCACCAGTCACGCCGGTATCAAGACAGTGGATGTAGCCGAGGCCCTTGTTACCCAAGGGTACACGGACGTCGCCTCCGTCCAGATCACCAATTCCAACCTCACAAATGTAACGTTATTATCTGCTACGCAGACTGACGCACTGCTGGGGCACGGGTTTTTTATCGGCGACAGCCATTTCTCTCTACGCCCTGCATTCACCAAACAACTACAACTCCATATCTTTGATGTCCCGATCTGGATCGAGAATACCGTTATCTGCAGTGCTTTGGCTGCATTTGGCCAGATCCAGGGAGACATCCGCCATGGTCAAATTCAAACCCCGTCGGGGATTACTGTAGGGACAGGTATGCGATTCGCCACCATCGAGCTGAAGGAGGGATGTCGGAAAGTTCCGTCATTCGTCCGCACAGCCGACCAGCACCAGTTTCGTGTCCGTCACGAAGACCAGAGGGCCGGCCACCTGCAGGATCTGCATGGGGGAGCACTTTGCTCGATCGTGTCCGAGCAAGCGGCCCACGAACAAACCACCCACAAATACACAGAGCACCAATTCGGCTGCACTCCCTGGATCACAACTGAGCTCGGGTACAAGTGCGCCCGATGCAGGAGGTAGTGAGGCTGTTGTGAGTGCTAGTTCAGGTAGTAGCTGTACAAACACGGACCCCAGCGCGGAGCCCGAGAGCTCAAATCAATCCACCAGCTCAGCACGCACGCGCACAGAGCCCAAGGGTTCACACTCTTACGCCAGCGCAGCTCAACAGGGAGCCCGCGCACAGCTCAACTGTACGCACGGGGCGGCCGAACAGGTGAGCACTGCACCCGACGGATCCCCTGCTAGTACTAGTACTAGTAGCAAGGATGCAACACAGAAAACCGCTGAAATGAACAGCGCCAGTGCGTCTGAGAACACAACCAGTGACGGGGAATCCAAGGAAATACAGAGCAATACTCCATCCTCTGTCGACCAAACTGAGGTAGCTGAGAGTTCCAGCTTGCAGGTAATCGCTCCCAGTACACCCCCAATATCCGGCACCCCTCCGCCTACAGGCACTGGGGCAGGCCACGACGACGGGGCCACCACGGTTGCCTCTGACGATGCGGATTGGATACCCAGCGGTCCTCGTCGTCGTCGACACAGCCACGGCCATTCGACCATGGAGGAGAAAGCCAAGGCCGATGGGACATGGCCCTCCCCTCAGAGGAAACACCCGAAATACTGAGTCCAGATAAGTTTCAACAACTAGCCAAAAGACAAAAACATTAAAAAAAAAAATAAAAAATTCCCCCCCAAAAAAAAAACAATACCAGTGTCAGTGAATTTGAACTTTCTCAGCACCAATGTGCGTTGCATATTCAACAAAATGGACGAGTTACTTACCTTTACCCGTTCGTGCTCTGAATCTCAGAACGAACTATCAGTCATTGCAGTCCAGGAAACCTGGGCTGACACATCAGACCCTGACAGTCTCTATGCAATCCCAGGCTACAAGCTGATCAGAGCTGACAGACAGGACTATGGTGGTGGTGTTGCCTTGTACATAGCGGAACGTTTCAACACAAGGGTACTGACAATACCAATGACAGCAGCAGAATGCATATGGACGAGAATATCCACCGGTAACCTTTCCCTCGTTGTTGCAAACATTTACCGACCACCCCGTAGCGATGGCACCGTCTTCTGTGCGGAACTGGAAAGAAGCATCAAAACCGCTAGAGCCGAAGGTGACGACCTCCTACTACTTGGAGACTTCAATGCCAAGAACAGTGCGTGGCTCACCACAGACAGAACAGATCGCCTTGGGGACGACATACAAACTCTGCTACACACATACGGCCTCACACAACATGTCAGATTCCCTACTTAAATCCACCGACAAACACCTCTCTCATTTCTAGACCTTGTTATCTCCTCACTCCACACCAATGATATTCATATCCAATAACTTCCACCGTTTGGCGCATCCGATCACACTACTATCAGTGGCCATATCAATAATCTTCTGCCCCCCATAATTAACAACTCCCCTCCACGATCCAGAAGCCCCACATTCTGGTCATGGACACACAGCACTATCCACCTTCTTCGAGAAGCCCTTTCACGCACAAATCTCAACCACCATCCAAACGAACACGACCCATGCCCAGTTGACACCTTCTGGCGATCCTGGCGCGACAAAGTCCTGAGCATCGCCCAAGAACACTGCCAAGTTACTCGCACTCACCCCCTTGGGACAGGAAGAACGTGCCAGCACGACCATGGATATCAAAGGGCCTCTTGAAAGAGTTAAAGGATAAGCACAGAAAACACAGAATATACCTTCACTCATGCTCGCCTGACGACTGGAACACGTTCACTGCCCAAAGAAACCGTGTCACCACCCTCCTGCAACGTGCTAAATCGGATTTCGTAAACAACTCAACAGCCTCCTCTACTTCCCTACACCGCCTCATGAAGCACCTAACTACAGCTACAAAACAACGCATACCCGAACTCGTCAGCCAAGCAACTCCTGCAACGACACCAGCACAAAAAGCCGCTGCCCTCAACGAATTCTTCATTTCACAGAGCAAGCTGTCCGTGGCCAATGCGGATGAGCAAACTCCAGCCATCAACACCACCCCTGACATCCTCAGTCCCCTTCAAGAAATCTCGACTTCCCAAGCTGAGGTCGAAAAACTCCTCCGCGGAGTTGATACCAACAAAAGCCCCGGGTTTGACTCTATTCCAAACCGCCTACTCAAAGAAGCGGCTAAGGAACTTGCACCGTCGTTATCGTCCCTCTTTAATCTATCGTTCCAAACCGGAGAAATCCCACAGGAGTGGAAAGATACCACAATTACTCCAGTACCCAAGCCGGGTGACCCAACCCAACCAACAAATTATAGACCCATCTCTCTCTCTTGAGCACTACATCAAAAATCCAAGAAAAAATTGCACATCAACTCCTCTACAAGCACATCACACCCCACCTGCCCAACCAGCAGTCCGGATTCCGCGAGAAAGACGGCACTGAGCAGCAACTTGCCCGTCTCGTCCATACCCTCTCCACTGCGAGAGACGACGGGAAACACGTCAATGCCTGCTTTTTCGATCTAAGCAAGGCCTTCGATCGTGTGTGGCATGCAGGCCTTCTAGCAAAACTCTCTCACTATGGTGTCCAGGGCAACGCCCTGGAGTGGTTCCGACGGTACCTGTTGGGGTATCGGCAAAGGGTCCTGGTGGATGGCGACCTATCGCCTTTCCTCGAGATCCCTGCCGGCGTCCCTCAGGGATCTGTTCTTGGGCCGCTTCTATTCCTCGTCTACACCATAGACCTTCCACACGCATGTGGGAATCCCAGCACCACCTGTAGCCAATTTGCAGATGACACCGCTCTGATTTCCATAGCGAGAACTCTTCAAGACTGCACCCGAAACCTACAACAGAGTGTCACAGCAGCTGGAGACTGGCTTCAAAGATGGCACCTGCTGGTTAACACAAAGAAGACAGTCATCCTCCCGTTCTACCACAATAACCGCTCCTCTGAACAGCTACCCCAGATCACCCTCAGGAATAGTCCGCTTACCGTAGCACAAAAACACAAACACCTCGGAATAATCTTTCAGCATGACCTCCGTTGGACTGAGAATGTTGAATACATAGTCAAAAAATCACTCAAGTCTTTCAATATTCTTTTTAGACTAAGGTCTACACTCACCAGTGATTCTTCATCTCACATCTATCAGACATACATACTACCTATATTCTCATATGCAAGCAATGCTCTCACACCGTTGTCCCACACTTCCCTTGACAGGCTAGAACGACTCCAGCGGAAAGCCGCCAGAATATGTCTCCACCTTCCCCTTTACACACACTTAGAACACTCCCACCTTTTGCATCGCATCAAATGGCCAACATTATTTTCACGCTTTAAAGTTAAACATATACTCTTCGCGCATTCTCTGCACCACAATTATGCCCCACCACATATACTCTCGCTGCATACTGCTAGCAACGTGCAACCTTTGTATAATTTACGTCGCTCTCGTACTTGGCACTTGCCAACTCCGCGGACTGACCGCTGTCTCCATTCTCCCCTGTACAAGGCCCTTCATTACTTTAATTGCCTGCCCACCCAGCTTTGCGAAATCCCTTCTCGTACTCCCTTCAAATCCGAGATATCCCTGCTGTTGCACAACTCTGTATGCTCGTGTAGTGACCACCCCTGCCCGTACACTTAAGTACGCAACTCTGTATGCTCGTGT